TAAAACCTATAAGAACAGGTTGAAAGGACTGGGGTGGTTAAGCTCAGCAAAGAGGAGATTTAGGGAGAGTATGACCATTATCAGCTTTATTTATCTGAAGAACTGCCCTGCCGGAAAGGAAATAAGCACATAGTCTGTGTTGTTCTGAAGAGTAAATTCCTAATTAATTCTAGATTTCTTTTCTCTGCTTGTGTCACAGGAAGGAGTTTACATGGGGACCAAACAATGAAAATACCTGTACCATCAGCTTGTGTTTTGCTTGTGGAAGGACTTTTTTAGTAAAAGACAGTATATGTGTGAGTGTATACACACATATGTAAATAAATAATATATAAACAAGTAACATGTACACATACACATACACAGTATGTACTATCTGTGTACCTGTGTATGGGAAAGGAAGGAAAGGAAAGGAATCAATGAAACATTCATAGTTTCATATACAATCTTTTTCTGTTTTTCTTTTTATATGGAAATGTTCATATTTTTTTAAAAAGGAAAATAATAAAATGATCAGCTGTAGTTTCAGGGAAAATCTTGAAGTTTCTAAAAGAAATACCACATGCCAAATGTAGTGTAGTCAACTCTTCTTTTGTTTAATTTGATTTTGCAATAGTCACTCCCCTTTTGTTGATTGCAAAACAGAATAAATCTGCAAACTAAGTCTTCTTCCCCCTGACCTCACTTTTCGTATGCATTGATCAGAGTCCAAAAGTCTAAAGACACTAATTTGTCTTTGGAGAGGAAAATTTTAAACACTTAACCTCTGTCTTACTATACAATCTCCAAGGTCTCATCAAAGTCTGAGTCCATGGTCACATATGACTTTGTGCAGGTGTTAGCATTTGAACAAGGCTTTGTCTTATGAACAGAATTTTGAGAAATGGAGATTGGAGGCTGGAGTATATATGTGTAAATAAAGAAGGGAATTATGCCTACCTTAAGTATTCTCTTGGCAGATCTACCCCAGTTCCTTTAAATGCTACCTTCTGTGGTATGGAGCAGCTAGGTGCTGAAGTGGATAAGAGCACTGGGCTTAGAGTCAGAAAAACCAGAGTTCAAATGTGACCTCAGACACTTACTAGCTGTGTGACCTTGGGCAAGTCACTTAACCCTTGCTTGCACAAAACTGGAGAAGGAAATGGTAAACCACTTCAGTATCCTCGCCAAGAAAATTGCAGTGACAGTTGATCCATGAGGCCATGAATAGTCAGACATGACTGAACAATAACATAGTATGGTTTCAAGACACAGAGTCGTCTTCATCCTGTTTTGGATTTTTCTCAAATAGTAATATCTCTTTTAAAGTGCATCATTCAGAAGTAGATACATTCTCTAGATCAGGTGTTCTTCACTTGGGGTCTATAGATAGATTCCAAGGCATCTGTGAACTTGGGTACAGAAAAAAAATTGCATCTTTACTTCCATTAACCTCTAATTGAAATTTAGCAATTCCTTCAATTATTTAAAAATTTTATTCTGAGAAGAGGTCTGTCCATAGGCTTCACCGGATGGCCAAAAGGATCCACGAATCAAAAAAGGTTAAGAACTCCTGCTCTGGGCCAAGGCAAAGATTGTCTCCGCCATCACCCAAGACAGCATTCTTTTTTAGTAGTGATCCACTGGACTGAAGTTAAAAATACAACCTCTAAAACATTTGAGTCTTTTTCTGTGAGTTTGCTATCTAGTTACATCTCTCTCCCATGTTCTACTTATGCAGATGGTTTTTATTTTAATCCAAATATCGGACTTTCTCTTTGTCCTTATTATATTTCATCTTAGTTTTGATCCACTGATTTCATTATTTAAGGCATTAAATATCCCTAACTTTATTACATCTGCAAACTTAAAAAATGCCCCCTCTAAATGATTAATGTATCCAAGTAAATGATTAACATACATATGTGCGTACATGTAGTGAACCTGAGCCCAAGAGTAGTCACTTTGACAATCTTTGTCCAGCTTAATATCAATCTATTAGCTGACATTCTTACAACAAAATCAGTTCAACCTTGATTAAACGGCTCCTACACACACAAGGGACTGGGACAGCTGCCAGGTTTAGATATAAAATCATTCCTGCAGTCACAGAATTTACAATCTAGTAAGGGAGTATGACATGAACATAGGTGACTAGAAGATAGTCCATTGGAGAAGTGGAGGGAGCGAAGTGCTCCCTCAATGAGGGAGGGCTGGTGCCACACAAGGATTAAAGGAACTGGGGTAGACAGGGTTCAGGAGTGACATGCTAGCTGCCTTCAAGCATTTGAAAGGCTGTCATTTGGAAGACAGAATAGACTTGTTTTCCTTAGTCCTAAGGGGCAGAATTTAAGAGCAATGGGTGGAATAAAAATAGTACAAATGTGTGTGTTTGGTCATGCCCAACTCTTGTGACCTCTTGAGTCACAGCACACCAATATTGTCCATGAGGTTTTCTTGGCAAAGATACTGGAGTGGTTTGCCATTTCCTTTTCTAATGGATTAAGGCAAAGAGAGCTTAAGTGACTTGCCCAGGGTTACACAGCTGGTGAGTGTCTGAGGATAAATTTGAACTCAGGTCTTCCTGACTCCAGGCTCAGCACTCTATGCACTGAGCCATCTAGCTGGGCCTTCACAAATATCATCTCATTTTTATCCTCACAACAACCCTGAGAAGTAGGTGCCATTATTATTACCCATTTTACAGATGAGGAAACTGAGGCAGATATAGGTCAAGTAATTTGTCAGGAGTCACACAAGGAGACGAGTCTTTCTGACTCCAGGATTGGCATTTGGGTTGGGGTGAGGGAAGAAGAATTTTGTTTTAGAAAGTTATCCAAGAAAGTGAATGAAGCTATGAGACGGTAGACTGTCATATTCTTTGCAGGCGCAATGTCAGGATTGATTTGATTATGGTTCCAGAACAGAAAAGCTGGAAAGGTGGCAGGTACAGGGAAGAGACATTTGCGCTAAGATGCAAGCTAAGGGTGAGAGATTTGCCCAGTAATTCCTGTGTCCTCTCTCCTCTCCTACTAGTGGCATAGCAATTGGTGGCAGTGTGCCCCAGTGTATTATTGGGGGGAGGAGAAGTGGGAAAGAAGGGGAATTCTCCTTGTTATTTACCTTGCTATACTATTATTTAGGGGCAGATGGGTGGCTCAGTGGATAGAGTGCCAGGCCAGAAGTCAGAAAGAACTGAGTTCAAATGTAGCCTTAGACACTTGCTAGCAATGCGACACCCTGGGTAAGTCACTTAACCTCTGTTTGCAAGTTACTTACCCTCTGCCTTGGAGGCAGCTAGGTGATTGAGTGGATAGAGCAATGGGCCTGGAGTCAGAAAGACCCAAATTCAACTCTGGCCTTAGACACTCAGTTCACAGGAAGACTTATCTTCCTGAATTCAAATTTGGCCTTAGACACTTCCTGGCTGGGTGACCCTGGGGCAAGTCACTTCACCCTGTTTGTCTCAGTTTCCTCATGTGTAAAATGAGCTGCAGAAGGAAATGCAAACCACTCCAGTATCTTTGCCAAGAAAACCCCTAACAAGGAGTTAGGAAACATTGGACCCTACTAAATAACATCATTTAATTAAATACATTTGTTTTGAATTAATGCAACCTCTAGCTGGTCAGAATAAAAGAGAAACATCAGAGGCCTGTGAGCTATGGTTTTACACAGACAGCTTCAGGGGGCCACCCTCAAGGAAGATTCAGGCTACACGTAGTAGAAGGTATAAAAAGTAGGTTTTCTGAACTAGATTTTCAGAAAGTCTTCTACTTATATGAATTGATGTGAAGTTAGCAGAACCAGGATAACATCGTATGCAACAGCAATATTGTAATGATGATCAACTATGAAAGACTTAGCTACTTTATCATCACCAATAATCCAAGACAATTCCAAAGGACTCACAGTGAAAAATACTATCTATATCCCAAGAGAACTGATGAACTCGAGTATGGATTGCAGCATACTTTTTTCACTTATTCATCTTTTTTTTCAACAAGGCCAAGATGAAAATGTTTTTCATGACTTTACATTTATAATTGATATTGTAGTACTTGCCTTTTCAATGGATGAGGGAAGAACTGGAGGAAAGGGATTTGAAACTCAATTTTTTCTAATGAATTCTAAAAGAAAATATGTGTGTGTGTGTGTGTGTGTGTGTGTGTGTGTGTGTTAAATCTTCTAGCTGGCTAATCTTCCTAAAGTGTGGGTCTGACCATGCGACACACACACACACATATTCAGTAAACTCCAGTAGCTCCCCATCACCTCCAGAATCACTTATAAAATTCTCTATTTAGCATTCAAAGCCCTTAAAAACCAGGTTCCCTCCCAACGTTCTAGTTTTCTCACATCCTATCTTGGTGTATTCTGAAGTCTAGTGACATTGACCTCCTGGTTGTTCCTCATATGAGACATTCCTTTTCACTCCATTATCATCATTTCACAGATAAATAAACTGAGGCTCATTTTATTCAGCATTTTCACTGGTTGTCCTCACGTGCCTAGAATTCCTTCCCTACTTATCTCCATCTCTTGCGTTCTTTGTCTTCTTTCAAATCTCAACTAAAATCCCACCTTCTACAAGATTTTATGGATTTCCCCTTAGTGGTAGTACCTGCCCTCTCTTGATTGTCCCCAGTTCATCTTGGATATATCTTGTTTCTACATAGTTTGTCTGCATGTTGTCTCACCCATTGGACTGTGAACTGCTTGAGAGCAGGGACTGTCTCTTACCTTTCTCTGTATTCTTGAGCTTAACACAGTACTTGGCACACAGTTGGCATTTACTGCTGACTGAATAAAAAATCAAATTATGAAACTCCCAAATTAGAGGAGAAACATCTGCAGATTGCTGCACCTTTACTTTGTAAATGTGATGGGAGTCAATGTACTCCATGTCAAAGAGAATATTAAAATCGTGGAGGAACTTCCCAGCAAGAACAAAATTATGAAATATCAACCTCATCCTTGAATGGTACAAAGCAAATACAGAAACAAACTCTCAAACCGACACTTCTTAAAAGTACCTTTATTTGGGCCAAAGCTAATTGGTATTTTTAAAAAGCCATACAACACAGTATTTCAAGAGGGGTATTGGATATTGTGGGCTTTCCCCGAAAATGACATTTTCCTCCTTCTTCTTTCTTTTATTTGTTTCTTTATTTGCATTAAAAATATAAACTCACTCAAATATTTGGAAATCATCAGTTAATTAAATGGCCTTACCAACTGGGTAACTGAGGTGAGTCTTGGACTCAGCCATCCTATCAGTTTTTTAGCTCAAAATGATTAGCACAAGGCATACAGGGAAAAATGATTTTCTGGATTAATGTGTTGCTCACCCTTGACTCAGCTTCTGTAACATTATCTAAAAGAAGGTCTTCACATAAACTTATACAAAAGTACAGTACATTGAATTGAACATTTTAAAATCATCCTTAAAAAGTCAAGAACATCTATTGGACATCCGAGTTGCTACAGTTAGCATCAAATATGTAAAAGGTTTGCATGTGAAAATGTTTTCTCATGAACATATTGCTTTTGTTCACATAGTGAGCTGTCAGCCTGCATTCTTTCTTGGAAATGGCACGAAGCAATGACTGACTGGTATAATTTCTATGAGGGAAATGGTTTGTCTAGAAAGGATGCGCAGTGGGGACACTCTCCTGACATGACCTATATTTGAACTTTCAGACAACATGAGAACGATTCAATCACACAAAGCAAGAATTGCATGTAAATATTGATCAAGGGTCAAGTTCTGATTTTGTCAACCATGGGAGAGGGGAGGGATTGAATCAGCAATATGCATAAAAGTTGCCTACACAATTTCCCCAAATAACCCCTATATATAAGAGTGGTAGGCTATGGCAAAACAAATCTTTCCCAATCTCCTCCCCATCCACCACCCCCCTCCACGCGCACACACACACACACACACACACACACACACACACACACACACACACCCTACCACCACCACCACCACCACCACCACGACTAATTCATCTTCCCTGTAAATACAGTTTTTCCAAATATTGGATTTTCTTAAAGCAGAGCTATGCCTACATTTGCATTTAAAACTCTGATTATTGTTTCTGGACATATTTGAACACAGCACAAGAGTTGCATCTGTAGCCATTACTGATAGCATGCTGTGCTTTTTCCTTCAAAGTGATTAGCTGAGGTATAGTCCCACATCAATACCATTAAGTTCATCATGCTTTTTTTTAAGTGTCTTGCATAATAAATAAATATTGTTAAAACAAAAGCTAACAATGTGGCAGTTATTCATTTCTACTTAAGAGAAACAGTCATCATTTGTCTCTGCTAAACGGATTTGGAATATGCAGTTTGTCCTTTACCCATTTGGCAAATCAAAGAGCACTTTTAAGTCTGCAGTTAGATGACAGAATCACTCTAAATGTTAATAACCATTGTTTTCCCTTTTATGAAACAGTTCTATCCTTTACATACAGGTAACTTCATTGGGCCTTGCCAAGGAAAGCTGTTGAGACTTCTGAAGGCAGAGAAAAAAATAGGAAAAAATATTTCTTATAGGTCAGTCTTAACAGAACATCGTACAAACATCTTTATACTTCTGTAAAAAGAACTGGGCTTTTGGGAAACGTGCAAATCCAGTGTTAGGAATTTATAATATTCAATGCATTCAACATAAATTAGAGCCTGATAGAAATAAGGTATGTGTCTCACTTATGGTCTCTCAAGGGCTCTGTTTGCAATGTGAAAACAGCTTTCCCCACCAAAGCAGTATATGCTCATCTTCACATAAACTGAATTTTTGTAATGACGCAGGATAGAAAATAAATATTTACTAGCTAGCATACTAAAAAAGCCATCGTTGAAAAGACATTTCATGTTGCTTTAAGAAATCAACTGGTTATACCATACAATAAAATGAATGAATGCACCTGCAAAGTGGGCTTGCATATATAAAGATATCATTTCCTTTTTTAAATTTTGCTGCTAGTTTGCCAGCAATAAAACATAATAGTCCAAAGACCAAACCCATATCCACTGTGTGCTTTAAAAAAACATTTTTTTTTTTTGCTCCCTTAGGTTCAGCAAAGGATATAAGGCTGGTTGATAGAAGACTGCAAATTTTTGAGCCAGATAACTCTCAGTGCATAAGATACTCCCAATTTCAAATAAGACACCTTTGAAAAGCCATTAGTCATTCTTTCATGCCATAACTTGATGCAATGAAGCAACAATTTATAACATGGGACTCTTGAACTTGGGAGATCTGAAAAGGAATAGGTTAGATATTGAATTTGAGTTCACTCACTATTAAAATGTTAATCACGTTCAAATGCTTCAAAAAATTTGAAATCACTATGCTCTGCTAGAGGCAGCATGAGGCTGGCCTTAGAACTGGGAAGATCCTGCCCCACTACCTGCATGGCTACGGGCAGCTAACTCCAGGAGCCTCAGTCAGTTCTAAGGCTATCAGTTACAGATAAGTTGTTAGTCTGTATCTGTGATGGGAGTTTCTACACTGGGAATTCCATATAAGGATGAAATCACAGGTATGGACCCAAATAACCACAAATACTTTTGTTTTCACTGGAAAACACTTTCCCTTTTACCCTTAGGGAACCCATTAAGGAAGCAGAAGAGGCCTACAGAGAGGTCAAGAATAGGTCTTAACCTTTTATGTTTTCTGCCTACAAACCAGCTTTGTCATTTTTAATGTTGCTGTAAACATTCCTCTCCCAGGAGCAGCCTCTGCCAGATAAATACAGTTTATCTTCCCTTTGCTTGAGAGAAATTAATGATTAAGTTCAAATGCGACACATTGTTGACACTAGCATTACTGTTAACTTGGTTTCCCAGCAAACCAGAGAGAGCCCAAGTCCTTGCTGCTCATTAGACTGCCATGAAGTATCTGGCAGGGACAGTGGAATTATATAGTGTCTAGTCCTAACCAGACCTAGAGATGTGCAATGTATGTAAAATTCTACTTGGAATGATGGGGGTGAGGGTGGGAGAGAGAAACTCCCCTGCCAAGGTGAAACACCACTGTCTATGTCTGCTAGCACTCATTGTGAGGCAGGAACACAAACTCAAACTGTCTGTGTTAGCCTTTAGATTACACAGGCTTTTGCTTATCAAAAACCCAATTTTGTGTGTGCACACAATTACTTATAGGAGTACCTCTCCCCACAGGTTAATCTGTTTTCAAAATGGATAGAAAGGGAAATATGAAGGTCTCTTATAGTGATCCCCAAACCTCACTTTGCAATACCTTAGGATGTCTCCAATAATTTCAAAAGATGCTAGAAAACTCTCAAAGTGAAATTCAAGAAATGCTATAATTCTTTTAGGAGTGGAGAATCATAGTTCTACAAATTCACACCAAGAAAAATAGGGGATCTGAAAAGCTGGGAATCACTTTTACAGTACTGAAACCAAGCCAGTTTGTCAGAGAAGGCTAGATGTGCCTAATGTACCATATTTGCAACTTAACCACGTCACAAAGAGCCACAAGGCGGAGGTGAATGCCCCTGTATCATAGAGCCCTAAATTGCACCTATGTTGCAATACTGCATTAGTTTCACTGCATTTCTTTATTTGTATAAAATATTACCTGGACACCCCCCAAATAAAAGTCTTTTTTTTTCTAAGTTCATTATAAAGGTTCCTGTATAAAATGCCAAAACGTAATCTCCTATATACAAAATGCTGCTGTTTAAGAAAATAATAGGACCCAATTATAGAACAAAATAATTTTGTACGAAAAAGGTACAACGTTGGATTCAAATTAATATTTTTAAAAAACTAAAAAAAAAAGGAATATTGAAATATCTTGATTGCAGAAAATAACTATAATATGTTGGGGAGAGGCCTTTGCTTATCTTTTCTCATGTTTATTGCAGGTAAGACAGTTTCCTTCACCATAATTATTTGATGAAAAGATTCCTGCTTTTCAGTGCAAAGTGCTTCACGTCTGTCATCGTCGGGATGCATATTTAGAAACCCAGTCAGTACGTCCATGGACCGGCTGGACTGCAGGTGGCCGAGGCAGTAATCCTGGGGTACTTCTGGGCTGAGTATGGAAAAGGGGTCGATTGTGATGAGGTCTCACAGACTTCAGTGAAGCATAACCTGCAAAAAAAAAAGTGAATGATGACCATCAAAAAAAAAAAAGAAAGAAAGAACTGGAATCCGCTTTTATTTGGCTCTCTTTGTACTCAACAACATTTACTGGGCACTTCTGATGTGTACCTAATTGTGGGAGGTGATGGGTACACAAAGACAACCATAATGGTTCCTAGACTGCAGGGGCTTACATTCTACTGGGGGATACAACATGAACACAAGTTGCTAAATATAAAGTATGTGCAAAGTAATTTCAAGAGGGAGAGAAAGGAAGGAAGGAAGCATTTATTAAATGGCTACTATAAGTTAGGCAAGAAGTTAATTCAGGCTATTCATTGGAAGATCAAATATTCAAGCTGAAGCTTAAATACTATGGCCACATAATGAGAAGATAGGACTCACTGGAAAAGACCCTGATATTGGAAAAGATTGAAGGCAAAAGGAAAAGGGGATGGCAGAGGATGAGATGGAAAGATGGTTTCAAGGAAACAACAAACATAAACTTGGACAGAATTGGAGAGGTCATGGAGGATAGAAGGGCCTGGCATGCAATGTGGTACATGGGGTCATGAAAAGTTGGACATGGCTGAACAATAACATAAGTGGAAAACACGATACAAACATTCTCTTATTTGACCTTCACAACTACCGTGGGAGATGGATGCTATTATTTTCCCCCTCTTCCATTTTATAGTTAAGAAACTGAGGTAGATACAGGTTAAGTAACTTGCCTAATGTGCTGTATTTGCAACTCAACCACTTCACAGAGGCAGAGCCAAGATGGTGGAGTAAAAGCAGTGACTTGCTTGAGCTCTCACCCAAATCCCTCCAACTACCTCTAAAAAATGGCTCTAAACCACTTCACAAATAAGCCACAAGGTGGAGGTGGGTGAATGCCCCTGTATCACATAGCCCTAAATTCTATCTCTACTGTTCAGTTCTTTTTCAATCATGTTCAACTCTTTGTAACCCTATTCAGGGTTTCTTGGCAAAAATACTGGAGTAGTTTGCCATGTCCTTCTCCAACTCAGTTTACAGATGAGGAATCTGAGGCAAACAGGGTTAAGTGGTAGTGTCTGAGCCCAGATTTAAACTCAGGAAGATGAGTCTTCCTGTCTCCAGGCCCGGCACTCTATCTACTGTACCACCTAGTGTCACCTCTATTGCAATACTGCATTATTACCCAGGTTGACGCAGCCAGGAAGTGACTAGGATTTGAACTCAGGACTTCCTGACTTTGGGTCCAGAGTTCTATCCACTGTGCCACTAAGCTGGCTAAGACAGCAGAGAGGATAAGGAAAGACACCTTGTAAAACGTAATATTTGAGCTGAGCTTTGAAGGAAATCAAAGATTCTAGGCTCCAGAGGTGAGGAGGAAATGTACTTCAAACAAATTGCTTATAAAGTATAAACATGTCTTTTATGGATGTTTGCTCAAAGAAGTGTGTGGACTATTTTCTTCTGCATTTGGAAAGGTAAGGAAAATGGTGAAGTCTTATCTTCCAGAAACCCAACCATCAACTTCCAGGCTCCGTCTTGTGGGAAGTGCTTGACTCTACCACACTCCTCACTGCCTCACACTTGCACTACTTCTCTTTATCTAGCTGTTGGGCAGGATGATTGGGGCAGTGCCCAGAAAGTCTAACAGACATTGAGTCTTCCCTGTTGGGAAATGGGGCTTCTGTCTAGCTGTTGTGCATCGTTGTTAACTGAACTTACCAGGAGAAGGATCTGAAATAGGGGCTAGGTGCACCCTCTGTCCCGCAGAACCCACTTCTTTTTTCAGAAATGAAGGGAGATAGCTACCAGTCAGTCTGCCAGATCCTGAATAGCCAGAAACAACTGGTGTACAACAAGGGGAAAGAAAGTCCATTAGTGAGGCGCCACATAAACTGGGGGACTTCCTGAGGGTCAGCTCGCATCATACTGGGACGTAACAACATGTGCACAATAAGTAAATAAAGATAAAGTGACTACAAGGGCAGGGAGTGAGAGTACTGATATTACTAATAGCTAACATTTATAAAGAACTTAATGTGCAAAGCACTTTACAACTATTGTCTCATTTGATCCTCCCAATAATCCTGAGAGGTAAGGTATCCCTATTGCACAGTTGAGGAAGTGGAGGCAAAGAAAGGTGAAGTGACTTTTCCCAGGGTCACACAACTATAAGTATCTGAAGTGGAACTCAGGTCTTCGTCACTCCAGGCCCAGCACTTTATCAACTGTGCCACCTAGCTACCCCTTGAAGCTGGATGGATGTGGAAGACTCTCATGTAGGAGATGGTGTCTGAGCTAAGCTTTGAAGGAAACTAGGAATTTGAAGAGGTGATAATGGAGTTCATGCCAAGCAAGGGGCACACAGAAAAATAAAGGAAAAGGGAAATAACAATTTTAAGCATGCCAGCAGTTATGAATGGCATCCACTCAGGGAGTGAGTGACAGGAGACACACATATGCTGTTTTCTCATCAGTCTCAGTTCCCCCATGCCTCCAATAGTGTGAAAATCTCGCTAGGTCCTTTCTAGGTCCTTAGAGGCCATCAAATTCTACCCCTTCATTCTACAGTTGAGGAAACTGAGGCATAAAAATGTTAGGTCTCTAAGTGACTTGGTTCGGGTCACACAGCTAATAAGTATCCAAGGCACAATTCTAAGACGGGTGTTCCTAGATACAAGTCCAGCATTCTGCCCCTACATGAAATATAAATGCTCTCCAGGGAATTGGTTTTCCCTATACTGCATTTCCCTGCCTCCTAACCTGTGGCTGCCCCACTTACAACAAAACAGAGGGGATAGGGGAACTCAGTGGAGTGATTTGATAGTGGGGCACTAAATGGATTGGCATTCAGCTCCACTTCACATGTCAGCCTAACCAATCCATTGTGTAGAGCCAAACTTTACCTGGAATTTACCAGCTTCTCTTACTTCCACAGGCTGTTCAATACAGAGACCTCTGGCAGATATGGATAAGGCCCAGGCCAAATTTGTACCCTCTCTCCAAGATTTTCAAGGCCAAGGGAAGTTTCACCAGATCTTAACCCCTATACTCTGCAAGTCTTGGGATCTTTTTTTTTTTTTTGGAGCATGGAGGCCCTGCCCTTTCTCCCTTCTCCCTCCTAAAATAAAGCAAAAAACCCCCCTAAAGCAAAACATTTTTTCCTGGTTCTCTGAAGGCTTCTCTACCAACACAAGGAAGCTGAACTCAGGGTAGTGGGAAAGGAAGGGATATTCCACAAGATAAGGCCACAAGGGATAATGAATGTTTTGATGAGGAGACCACAGGAGCTTCCCTTGAGGACAAACACATATTTGTATTCCTAGAACTTAGCAAAATGCCTGGTTCATAGTAAGCTAATAAATGCTTACTGATTTGACTTGACACTGGAAAAATGGATCATAGGACCATAGACTTAGAACTAGAAAGGACCTAAGAGGTTATCAAATCCAACTGCCTCATTTTACAGATGAGGAAACTGAGGCCCAGAGAGGTAAAGCCCAGGGAAATGCAGCTACTAAGTGCCTGGGTAGGATTCAAATCCAGGTCTTCCTGACTCTAAGTCTAACATCATTGAATTGTTAAATGTCTGGAGTTAAGTAATAGGTGTAAGGCTCTTCGTATAAAGAGTATAGCTGGACCTTTTGATCTCTAAGGATTGAAAAGGTAGAATTACCCAGGCCACCAGGAAAGTGTTCATCTAGTAATGGCCAAAGGAAGATAAAAGGTGATGAGTGACTGCTGTTGAAGCCCTTCTGTGAGATACTCAGGCATTCACTTGCCACCCTGGCATGAACGAGGGAGAGTTCTGTTGTCTTCCCTGCATGTGTATCCAGGATGCAGTGAGACTCATCAAAGCTGCCACCACCTCTTGGCAATTGGTGGGGCAGGCATGAGGGATGCCCAAAGTTACCCAAAAGCATTGCTAGACATTATAATGTTTCTGAAGAGGAACAGAAGAGTTTAGGAGATCAGGGAGCAGTTTTATCATAAATTCTGTAAAAGTTTCAGGGGTAAATGCATCATTCCCCCCCATCCCCTGCCCGAAGATTGATAGAGCTATTATTTTGGTGTAATGAAGGAAGGTGGCTTAGCATAAAGGGAAGAAAAGATATAAGGTTTACATTTTAACATTTATCTGAAATTTAAGTAGCTGCCTTTTGTTAATCCTTCTTTGAGCATGAAGAGAGAAAAGGTTGTTTAGATCAGGGACCCCCAGATCCATCCCCCACTCCAAGCTCAGAGATTGCCTTCTGACTTCCACGCCAGCTCAAAGACCCTCCTCCACTAACCCCGTGAGCCCCTTTCATCTCAGATCAGGTTCTCAAATAAAGGTGTTAGACAACAAGAATGACAGCAACAAAAATGCTGGAAAAAATTCAAGGAGCCATGACTTGCCTTGTGGTCTCAGAAATGTGTTAGCTGTGTGATATTAAGCAAGTCATCTCTGTTTGCCTTAGTTTGTTGATCTGTAAAGAGGAAAATAATAATGGTACCCACCTCCCAAGGTTGTTGCTAGAATCAAAATGATACAATGATTGTAAAGTGCTTAACAGAGTGATTGGCATTTGGTGGGCACTATACAAATGCTGACTATTACTAAAATTGTTTCTTAAGTTGAATGCATTACTTACTGGATTGTAGATATGATTAGCACAAAATTACAAAGGTAATAAAGATTAATGATGTACTATGTAGGATAATTGGGAAATATATTTGGCTGAATTGGTATTGTGTGGTAAGAAATTATCTTTCTTGTTTTAAATACAGGATATTGTGCATGTTATTATTGTATTTCTAAATTCTCTATTGTAAAATACTTTGGGAAACCATTCTATCAGAAATGCTGTTAAACATTAACTTCCCTTTTAATCTGATTATGAATAGACCTTTTAAAAGAATGTGATAAAAACAGGCATTATGGGGTATATTGTTTTAAAACAGATAATTATAATAAGTTTACCATAATAAAGTATTTTACTTTGAAAATGTTTGAATACTACTTACAAAAATTATGAACATGTATACGGTGGCTTAAAGATGTAACTTCAATATATTAATATGAGTTAACTCTCAGGTATTTGATGTATGTCTGAAACCCCAGAATGTGGTTAGCTCTAATCTATCCTTCATAAGTAAAAGACAAAAGAAGTGTTAACTGTAAGGGGAACACAAATAAAGATATTCAAGCCCTAATATGTAGTTTGAGAAATTTTGCTATTTGAAGTAAAAATTCTTGGGACTATAATTCATTATTGTTTTGAGTTTTGATTACAGGGAAGGTTGTCACGAAGGCAGTAGTAGAAAATGACATGTGCTGCCATCTGAGGAACTGCTAAAGGTGGATGTCTATGCCTAGGAAAAGCTTTGGGGATGACCCTGGCATGAGTCCTCTTGACTCAGTTTCCTCATTATGCTATTTCCTCACTGAACAGGAAATTTTCCCACCTGGTTAATCTGAGCCTTAGCTTTTGATACACTGGGACTACATGACTGGCTGTCATATGTGACTTGTGCCCAGAATCAAACAGAGGCAAGAGTTTTTTTCCCTGTTATGATATATGTCAGGTCAGTCTGTGCCCTTGAGGGGACGAACCTTGACACTGTTATAACTATATCCCTCCTTATCCTTTCATATCAAATTTCTATAATAAGGGCAGGTGAGTAGCAGAAATTTTGTAAATACAATATTAAACCTACTAATTAATAGGCTGATATTGGAATATCTCTGAGTAACTAAAATAGCATGCAAGTATGAAACATCTTTCAATTTTAATCTGTATTTGTGGCCAAATTATAATAGAGGCATAATATCCTACAAAAGGGAGAATTAGACAAAGTAATAAGACAAAAGATGTAATGTAAAAGTTGTCTAATTAAATACAACAGTAAATTTCGAGAAAGTAACAGGATTAGATTTTTTTTCTGTAAGAACTATACACAAATGCATATGATTGGTTTCTACATGTATCTAGTACAAAAATTCAGGTTTTGGTTATGTTTCAGTAATAAGTTTCCAAAATTGGATTAAGGGTTTTACATATAAAATTGTATTAATAATTGTAAAGAAGGTCAAATTATGTTTCTATTTTCAAAGTATCTGATATTTTAAAAGACAGAAAAGTTCATTTTACAAGTTAGACCCTCATAAATTTTTTTTTAAGATTATTATATCAGGTACAGTGTTTAAGTAAATATAAAAACAGCAAGTGGTATACAAAAAAAACTCTGAAATTCTCTAAAGCTTCAGGATTGGAGAACCAAATTTAAGAGACTGTGCTAAATTGTATTAAGTCTTATTACTAGCAGATTTAACAGAATTATTTAGCAACCTCTACAAGTGATTTGAAATCAGAGAAGCAGAGTTCTCTTCACTGTTGTTGTTTCTGTCCTTCATCTCTGAAGAGGACTAAAATGACATCACTATGGTAGAATCAAATTTTAGTGTGTCCAACTGTGGCTGATCAGATCAATACGAGCTTAGAATGTCCTACCACAAGGTTGAACACAAACAGTCCGTGTGGACCTTTGCTTCACTGAACCCTTCTTAGCTGCCCTGAGAATGAAAGCCTATTGCAAAACGTACAAGAGAAGGTATCCAGGGACCAGACGACTACCTGGGACATCTGGGACTCAAAATGTGCTGATTAAATGGACATTGGGAGTGGGTGACTTGATGTTAATTTATGTTTAAGTTCTCCTGGTTATCTTAGTGACATGCAAATCTCTCTTCTCAAAATTATCCATTATGAGCCCTCTAAGTAGTTTGATCTGTAACCTGACTTACAAAATTCTGATTATGAATATGTGAAAAAACCTTATAGATTTGGCTCACAGATAAGTGATCCAAGGGGGCAGTGGGTTGTCCAGTCCCCCACAAATCAAAAGGGGGAAACTGGTGTTATTTGTAGAAGGTAATGCTTGGGCTGAGTCTTGAAGGAAGTGAGGGGTTCTCTGAGGTGGAAGTGAGAGGGAGCGAAATTCAGACATAGGAAATGGCCTTAAGTTAGAAAGATTGCTTAGGACTTTAAAAACCATCCAGAAGGGTTTTTATTTGATCCTAAAAGTAATAGGGAGCCATTTGAATTTATTGAGTATGAGAGGGACATGATGAGACCTGAGCTTTAGAAATATCACTTGGGCAGCTCTGTAGAGTATGGATTAGAACAGTGAGTCTTGAAAGGAGATCAATTAAGATTCTTTTGCAATAGTCTATACAAGAGGTGATGAGGCAGCTGAACTCAACTAAGGTGGTGGCTATATGAATCCTGAGAAAGCATCAGATGTGTGAAATGTTGTGTAGAAATGTCAAAATTTGAATATTGATTGGATATGTGTTAGAATTAGGTTAAACATCATTAAAATGGCCATAACCTTTCATGCAGAGATCCCATTACAAGATAACATACTACCCAAGGAGCTCAAAGACAGAGACCTCCCATGTACACCAAAAGACTCATGGTAGCACTTAGAGTAGCAAAGAATAAGGAAGAAAGTAGGTTCCCATCAATTGGGGGAAATGCTAAGGAAATTGTGATATATGAATGGAACTGTGCTATAAGAAATGGTGAATGCAATGAATTTGGAGCAGGACTAGAAGATATATATAGAAAGGTATGGAGCAAAGTAAGAACAACCAAGAAAATAACATAATCAGTGACTAAATAGAAAGAACACTAACAAGGAAACTGAACAATGTGCAATTAGGATGACTAATTTTCTCAGGGAAGATATTAGAAAATTCACTTCCCTCCTTTTTTTGCAGAGGAAGGGCACTATGAGTGCAGAAGATTATATAATCTGTCTGATTCGGCTAATGTGTGTCTTAGTTTTGCTGAAATACTTTGTTTTTTCTCTTTTCTTATTTTGTTACAGAAATAGCTCACTGGATAGGGGAGGAATATATTTCACAATAAAAGTGATATAAAAACAAAAGAGACAATTACAAAATGAAAAATAGAAAAAAATGTAAAAGATGATGTTGTTTGAAAAGAGGATTTGGATTTCCTATCACTTAAAATACAGGAATGATAACTTTTAGGCAGTAATAGAAGATTGTGTTTAAGACTGGAATTCAGTCTTTTGGACCAAGGCTTAAATATAAGAAAGAAAGCTTCTTCAGTCAGAAAGGAGTGCACCTAACAAATACTGATCAAAAAATCTATGTGCTAGGGGTCTTGTGAACCTGATCAGGAAGGCATTACACTGGAGAATAGAAGGGAAATGAGAAAACTGTTCTTGGATATCTGCCAAGCCAGATTCCACAAAAAACAAACAAAACCAAACAACAACCAGAAGACACAAAAGAGGAACAAGAATATATTAGTGAGAGAACCAATAATTCATAGAAGGTGACACCCAAGAAGAAAGCCAGAAACAAAACCCATATTCTCAAATATTATATACACATATGTATAAAATATAAAACACCATGAGGTTAACTGAAGAATTTCCAATACTGCTGAGTAAATTCAACCTCACAGTTGGATGGAACTCATGATTAGAAAATTTCCCTTTATGGATAGATCTTAATCAAAAGGAGAAGTAGAGTAGAATTTTATACTAAGAAGACACGGTTATGTGAGGAAATGTAGAAACTAGAAAGGGAAGCAGGACAGAACATTTGGGTAGGTAATCAACTGAGGTAGAAAGGGAAGGGATATTGTCATAGTAGTTTCTACAGACCCCCCCAAGAGAAGGAGAAAATAGCTCAGTGCAGTACAATAAAACCTGAAAGGGCAAAAACAAGGGCATTAACTGCATTAAGTGCTTCTCATGAATTTGCTAAATCCAGGGTAATCTGCTTGCTACCTGTTCGCATTTCATCATTACTCACCTGAATTCATTCTGCTGATTCCTGATACTGAACCAGAAGATTTTCCAGAGAGACTAGAACCAGACCATGAATTAGGTGGGAGAAAATCCTTGCCTGGATTTGGAAGTATGCCATTTCTAATAGTTATCCCTAATAGGAAACAATTAAAAAGTAATTTGTATATTTAGTCTTACATCAAGATTCAGAACAGCAATAATATAAAACCTGAATTAAATTAAATTAAACATTTAGTTTAATAAACAATTAAACATTTCCTATAAAACTAACCATGAAAGCTGCCAGGTCTTATTGAGTTTTATCTCCACAATATTTCTTTGGATAAGTGTACATATTTTACACATACACTATATTGGCCATGGGAGATATGTAAGTATGACATGCAGGTTAAATAGAAGCCTATCTGGATGGTGATCAGATTTAGATTCAGTAAATTTAGACAGAAATCGAGAGTAAGAAAGGGAGAGTCACAATAGAGATAGATAAATTAAGTGATTTGCCAATGGTTAATTATCTGTTGCTATTGTTTGGTCATTTTTCAGTCATTTCCAACCCTTCATAACTCCATTAGGAGTTGTCTTGACAAAGGTACAAGAGCAGTTTGCCATTTCCTTCTCCAGCTCATTTTACAGATGAGGAAACTGGGGTAAACAGGGTTAAATGACTTGTCCAGGGTCACACAGCTAGTAAGTGTCTCAGACCAGATTTGAACTTGGGAAGAGTCATCTTCCTGATTCGAGGCCTGACACTCTATTCATCACCCAGCTGCCTCTAGCTAGTATGTGTCAAAGGCTGCACCTGTGAATCTTCTTGAATCCAAGGTTGGCCTCCCATGTGTATTGTCTCCCTCTGCCTTTGACTATCTGCTTGAATCTCTGACTCAATATACTTAATCCAAATTGGTAACCACTCAGTAAACCTATATTTGATCCATGTAACAGAAAAGTTTCCTAAGGGCAGTATACCATAATTCTCATGACTAATATCTATTAGTGGGTAGCTAGGTGGCGCCATAGATACAGTGCTAGGCCTGGAGAATTCAGAATTCAGTTCTGGCCTCAGATACTGTGACCCTGTGCAGGTCACTTAACCCTGTTTCCCTCAGTTTCCTCATCTGTAAAATGAGCTGGAGAAGGAAATGGCAAAACACTCCAGTATCTTTGCCAAGAAAACCTAAATGGGGTCATGAAGAGTCAAACACAACTGAAAAATGAACAACAAAAACGTCTATTACTATTTCCTAGCTGGAATATTTTTTCTCAAGAGACTGAAAGGCAGACAACTTGTATTTGTACACTAGAAGACCATTCTGAAATTTTTCTAAACAGACTGGAAGACAATTCTTTTCTTTATTCTGAGAATGTCATTCCAGACAGAGCTTCAGTTCCTCATTAGAAAACTCAATGTCAACAGCTTTTGACAAGGATTTATTTCACGTGTTCACCCTTTTCCCCTGTTTCTCAAGCATAGACAGACGGTCATCAACTCCTTCAAAAAAGAAAAACACTGCCCCACATTCTTATTGCTATGCCTAAATCTAAGAGTAGGAAATTGGAAATTGGGTGGGTTTTCTGTTCACTGGACTTCAAATGGCAGGTCACAATGACATATAAGTGGGTAGTCATGAGAACACTCCACAAGGTACCTATGTCCAAATCTCCCATCTTAGCCCAACTACATAGCATAGGATGGCTTCATGACATGGGCTTCAACAACTATGCTTCTAGTGTTTTTGTTTGTTCTTACATAGTCCACTAAAAGTTTGTCTTGCCATCTAAAGTACATTTTTCTGGACAAGGAACCTCACCGATTTCTCATCAACCAACCAATCAACAGGTATCTGTTAAGTGCCTGTAATGTTAAAGATAAATAATTTCTATTCACCAGGCAAGTATCTAGAGTGCTTCAAGTAATGCTGCTTGGCTACAGATCGCAATGTTGGAGTGTCTTGTCGCTGATAGGAAGTATGGGTGGGTGCACTGTTACCGGTACCTATGGGTTCTGAAGGCTTCAGGTCCAAAACACTCTCAAATCTGTAACAAGAGAACATGCTTTATTTTAGCACCAGAGTAATGATCTTCACAGAGTGATTTTCACCAGTGCAAGATCATTACTTCAGGGATTTGTGATTTTGTAATGGTTGCTCTTAGATACAATACATATCAAAGCTCCTATACCACTCAATAGATGACCTTAGACAGCTGCTGGGATGGAAGACTCATCCCTTCGCAGCCCAGTGGCTGGCAATGAGCCTCTGAATTTAGCTAGGCTGGCCCTTGGCACAAGACAAATACGGCCCATTACCAGGATTATTCCTGGAAGTCTCCCCAATTATCTGCCAGAGTTTGTACCACATGCGTAAATTCTGAGAAATGACAATGTAAATATATAGATGATAATAAACAGAAAGAAAATAATGTAAAACTTGCCTACAGAGAGTTTCATCACTCTGTCTTTTCTTGTTTTTTAGATCAGTCCTGATGAGGGAAGGGCTGAAATCCAGGTCATTCAAATCATCCCAATCATCAGAATCCTTTGTTGACCTGGAAACATGGCCCCACCTCCTACTCTTTGGTTTAATTTCACCATTTGGGTGCTCCAAGCCTGCCAAAATTTTCTGTAAACACACAAAGGGGGAAAAAAGATAACGCTCAGCATTAAAAGCACTCCTCTAGGATTCACTAATGTTCCCCACTCACTCATAAATTATTTTAATTTATTTTACATTTGCACATTTAAGCAGATGCTCTTTCCCCCCTTCCCCTTAGAACAATGTAGACTCCTGGAGGACAAGGGCAGAACAATAGACTTAGAAGAAGGTCTGACACATCTTAGCGCTTAGTTAAGGTCTGCTATTAATAATAACAAGCAGCACTTGGCTCTTCTAAGTCTTCAGAGCATTTTACACATAAGATCGAATTTGATCCTCACAACAATCCTGTAAGGGTGGTGTTGTTATTATCTTCATTTTACAGATGAGGAAACTGAGGCTAAGAGAGGTATACAGTCCACAAACATTCAGTAAGCACCTATCATTGTGTGACTTGCCCAGGCTCACATATCTAAGTAAGTATCTGAGGCAGCATTTGAACTCGGTTTCTCAATCCACTGTACTGCTGGGCTGCATAGTTAGCACTTAGTATCCCCTCCTCAACAAATCAAGGATACTAGATTTAGAGCCAAAAAGTCTTGAGAGCTTATTTAGATAAATTTTTTTTTTTTGGGTGAGGCAATTGGGGTTAAGTGACTTGCCCAGGGTCACACAGCAAGTGTCATGTGTCTGAGGCTGGATTTGAACTCAGGTCCTCCTGACTCCAAGGCCGGTGCTCCATCCACCGTGCTACCTACCTGCCCTCTCTAGATCAATTTTTTAATTTTACATTGGGAGGGGGGAACAAGAGAGGTTACACAGGCGATAGATGGTAGGATTTGAACTCAGGTTTTCTGATTCCAAATTGAGTATTCTTTCCACTATACCATACTGCTGCTTCCCTAATAAATGCAGGACTGCGGCTACTGCATGCAACTATAATCAGGAAAAGGAATTTCCAATCTTGGAATTTCTTAGACTTATTATCTTGATCCTGGATAATACAGATTATACCATTTCCCAACTGTGGAAGACTGTAAATACCTAAAAAATTAATTGGTAAAAAGTTAGTCATCACTCCATACATTTTCAGGAAGACTAGCTTCTTATCCTATCCTTATTTATTAGAGAGTTAACACCACTCAGATCATCATTTATACAAGGGCCTACAAATCTGGTGTCAAGGCCCATATGACCATTGTGCTAATTAATCATGAAATAGAAGAGACGTTTCTTATTAAGAACTATCTGCTCCTAATGCCTTCCTTTATTGCTGTTGTTCAGTTGGTGCAGTCATGTCTGACTCTTCGTGACCCCATTTGGGGGTCTTCTTGGCAAAGATACCAGAGTGCTTTGCCATTTCCTTCTCCAGTTCATTTTACAGATGAGGAAACTGAGGCAAACAGGGTTAAGCGACCTGCCCAGGACCACATAGCTAGTATCTGAGGCCAGAAGACTCTAGATCTAGCACTCTGTGCACTTGGCACTGCCTACCTGCCCTGCCTTCCTTTATAAAGGGCAGAACTTGGACTCTCAGCTCCTCATCCCACTTCCCACCTGCTGCCCTGCCTAGTTTCAATTCCACAGACCAAATTAGTCCTCTCAGGTGAAGCTTATCACTTCTAAGCTCACCACCTCCCTGATATCTCAAGCCTTATTGACACCACCTCCTTCAGCCTCCTTTCTCCTCTGATTGGAGAGCTGCAGGGCAGAGTACCAAACTCCTGACATTGTCTCCCCTTACAGAAAGCAGAAACTGGACTCAATTCACTCCAGTTTACATCTGCTGTCCTGCCTGGTTTCAACTCCATGGAATAAGATGCTCCCATGCCAGGTACCTCTAAGTGACCAATCCCTCTCCTCTTGCCTCCTTTTGGGTAGTATCTCCCACTCCTTGAGGACAGCGGCTATCTTTCTTTTTATTAATTGTACTCCAAGCACTTAGCACAGTGCCTGGCATACAGTAGGTGCTTAATAAATGTTGATTAGACTGGATTGTATTGCTATCTGTTAACTATGTAGAAACAACTGCTTTTTACTATATTTTTTAACCAGAAGATTTTCATAGGCAATGAAATATCATTTTTATATTGCCCAGAGAAGCTAATATTGTGCCCTGCACCCAGAAGCTGATCGGCAGCCCCTGAAGGACTAACAGCATTAAGAGTTTCTGCTACCTGCCTCATTTAGAGAAAACTTCTTATTCTTCATGCTATACAGCCTAAAAAGAAGTCAGGGCCTGAGTTCCAGTGCCCATTTTCAGTGCAACACTTATTGCTTTCTCTTTTAAAAATGCATTCTGATGATCCTTCAAGAAATGTCTTCAAAGGGGAAGCTAGATGGCGCAGTGGATAGAGCTTGGGCCTTGGAGTCAGGTGAACCTGAGTTCAAAAAAAAAAAGTCTTCAAAATCAAAAAGGTTTGCAAAAGTGGGATGAGTGGATAAAAACTGAGCTTTTTATGCATAAGAAGAGATAATCAGAATACCTCTCTTTTTTAACAGGCCTATGAGCTTTTTGTGGGGTAGCTTTATATATGGTGAGCCAACCAATAAATGGTCCTTATGAAGAGTTTCCTAAGTACCCAGATTCTTGTTAATCTCTTTCTTAGGGCTCTACAGATACTGTCCTCATCACAGCATTCTGTGTTTTCTGATACTATCTTGTGCTATACTTTATCTCTTGTGTAACAATAATAACGATAATAGCTAACATTTACATAGCACCAAATATGTGTCAGCCACTGTGCTAAGCGTTTTACAGTTATTATTTCATTTGATCCTTACCCCAACTTTGGAAGGAAGGTACTAGTATGACCCCCATATTACAGATGAGGAAACAGGGCAAATAGAGGTGAAGTGACTGGCCCAGAGTCATATAGCTAGTAAGTGTCTGAGGCAGGTCTTTCTGACTCTACGTCCAGTGTTCTACCAACTGCCCCACCTAGCTGTATTCCCCTCTTGTCTCCAGAACATAAAGCTCTCTAAAAGCAGGGACCATGCTTCCTACTTCTTTTATATTCTCTTCCATGTTGAAAATAGTGCTCGATACACAGTAGGTTTTCAGTAAATAACCTATATTGAATAAACAAGAAAAACTAGTGTGTGTAAGTATTAAAAAAAAAACCAGAATCACAAAATTTCAGAGCTGAAAAGAAAACTGTCAGGGCCACTGAACCAACCCACACCTGGAAAATAGTCCTATACAATAAATCCAAGGGATTACCTAGTCTTTGCTTGAAGGCTTCCACTAAGAGGAACCCCACTGTCTCCCAAGGATGCCCATTTTATTTCTGTTTGGAAATTCTTCCATACCTCAAGATGAAATTTGCCTCTTTTCTCAGAGGGGTTAAATGAGTTGTCCAACATCACATAGGTAGTTAGGGCCTGCAGCTAGGTGGATAGAGTGGTGGACCTGGAATCAGGAAGACCCACCTTCCTGAGTTCCAATCTAGCCTCAGACACTTACTAACTGTGCGACCCTGGGCAAGTCACTTAACTCTGTTTGCCTCAGTTTTCTAGTCTGTAAAATGAGCCAGAGAAGGAAATGGCAAACCATTCCAGTTTCTTTGCCCAAGAAAACCCCAGTAGAGCTCCGGACTTGGAGTCAGGAGGACCTGAGTTCAAAAAGTTCACTTGAAGTGCCTTACATTCTGAGGGATCTTGTTGTGGAGGGCTGGGAAAAGCACTGGAGTAGGCTGGTCCTCTTGATGCTGGCTCTCAGGATCTGCTGCTGAAGCCTCTGTTTTGTATGGGTATATGAGATGCTGGGGGGGCTGGCTGGGCTGATGTGGTCGAGAAGAAATCCGGGGATGTGGTTTGGCAGGGGGGTTTGCAGGAGGGACGGGTTTCATATGAGGTGGTGGTCCCATCTTCTCCAGGAATTCTTTCTGTGGTTTCCCCATTTCCTGAAGGCTATGGGGAGTGCTGCCTAGGGGATGTCCAACTTGAAAGTAGGGATATCGAAGTGCCTGAAACCAACAAAGTAGACAGAATTAGGTAAAAGACCACTCTTCCCAGGAAAGTGTTCAAAGTTTCTTCCCAAGTTCCTTAGGTGTTATACTATGGTGAAGATGGGAACAATAGCAATAGTAGCTAGCATTTATATATCACTTTAAGGTCTGCAAACTGTTTTACATGTATCTTTCATATATGGGCAGTTAGGTGGCTCAGTGGATAGAGCATTGGGCCTGGAGTCAGGAAGCCCTGAATTCAAATCCAGCTTCAGACACTTACCAGCCGTGTGACCCTGGGCAAAGAGCTTTACCTCTGTTTGCCTACATTTCTTCATTTGTAAAATGGGGATAATGATAACAACACCTACCTCCCAGGGTTGTTTCAAGGATGAAATGAGCTTAAATGTTAGCTATTATTATTATTTCATTTAACCACCACAATAATCCTGAGAAGTAAGGGTTATTAAGAATGACAACAACAATAATAATCATGGCTAGCACTTCACAATTTTCAAATTACTTTACAAATATTATTGTATTCAATCCTCACAAAACGCTGCAAGGTAGTTCTATTATTATCTCCATTTTACAGATGAGGAAACTGAGGAAAACTGAGGTTAAGTACCTGGCAAGGGTCAACAAAAACAACAGGTGGACATTTATTTGTGTTGTCTAGACCAGGGGTTCTTGACCTAATGCCTGTAAACTTAAGAAAATGTTATTTTGATAACTGTATTTCAGTATAATAGGTTTCCCTATATATTTATTTTATGCATTTTAAAATATTCTGAGATGGGGTCCATAAGCTTCACCAGGCTGCCAAAGGGATCCATGACAAAGAAAGGTTCAAGAATCCCTAGTCTAGATCTATAATTTCATCTCTGTGGGAAACTCTTGGTACGGAATTTTCCTCCACTGATGAAGACTGACAGTTCATCTATAACTGACAGTCCTTTTTTTTTGAATGATATTTTATTTTTTCCCCAATTACATGTAAAATAATTTTCAATATTCATTTTAAAACATTTTGAGTTTCAAATTCTCTCTTTCCCTCCCTCCTCACACCCCTCCCAGAAATGGCAAGCTGTTTGATAGAGTTTAACTTACAGCCCTGGAGAGTTGCGTTTATCCAGGGAGATAAGTGACTTACCCAGGGATATATAGCTAGTATGTGTCTGAGACAGAGTTCGAATTATGCCAGCAGCTTCACTGATAGTTACAAACTCCTTTAAAGTTGCAAGGTGCTCAACATACATTATCATTTCACTTGGGGCCCAGATTGGCACTACAGATATTATTACTCATTCCCATTTTACAGATGAGGACACTGAAGCTCAGACAGGTTATGTGACTTGTCCAAAGTCACCTAGCTATTATCAGAAACAGTATTCAAACCAATGTCTTTCTAACTCTAGGTCTATCACACCTCCCCATATACTATATGAAGCATAAATTATAAAACAGGTTTAAAGGAACCAATAATAGCCCTGATCTATGCAGCCAATTTAATGTTGCCTTTTTCTTCACATGGTCCAGGCCATGCAGAAACTTATATCCTATGCTGATACTGTCCCCATGGAGCTTTTTCTTTCTAAGATAACCAGAGTGTTCAAGAATAGTAATGTCCTATTACTTAAGAATCTTGGCTTTGGGGAAGCCAGGTGGTGCAGTAGATAGAGCAATGGCCCTGAAGTCAGTAGGACCTGAGTTGCAATCTGGCCTCAGACACTTGAAGCTATCTGTGTCTGTGTGACCCTGGTCAAGTCATTTAACCCCTACTGCCTTGCCAAAAAAAAAAAAAAGAACAAGAAGAAGAATCTTGGCTTTTCTATGTACTGGTTATAAATATTTTTTATATTGTCAACAACTAGCAATTATTGATGTTATTATTGAAAAGCAGACTGGATTGAGACTATAGTTTTAAACTCTAATTCTTGTTTCATCAATGATTTCGTGTGTTCTTTTTTCTTCTTTTGCTGTGTGTCATAAATATGTCACTTGAGCCATCTAAGCCTTTTTCCACACTTTGTGGGAGTGTAAGAAAAATACAATTCTGCCACACAGTGAAATGATCCTGGAGCTTTCTAAAGTTGTCGACTGCTAAACAAACATCATTGAAACACCTTTCAGCTCAGGTCCTTGAAGAGACAAGTTATACAGTGACATTTTGGTCACTGAGAACCCTTGGGAAATTATTATGCAAAATCAGAATCACAGCACATTGGAACTGGAAGGGCCTTCAGAGACCATGAAATCAAATCTCTATCTGGATAAGAATCTGTAACATATCTGGCAAGTGCTCACCTAGTTTTTTGCTTGAACACCCCTAGGGAGTGGGAGCCCACTACCCCCAGAAAGCATCCTACTATTTTTCAGGATTGCTCATATTTTAAAAAAGTTTTTCCTGATTACCATGCCAATATATCTCTACCTACAACTTTTACCCATTGCTTCTAAATTCCTCCCTTCCACACCAATGCAGACAACTTCAATTCCTTCCTCTTTCTCTTTTCTTTTTTTCTTCTTTTTTCTTTCCATCCGTTCAAATACAAAGAGACGGCTATCACGCAGCATCTGGGTCTTCTTCTACAGGCTAGTTGTCAACAGTTCCTTCAACTGATACTCGTATGGCAAGATCTTCAGACTATTTACCATCCTGGTACTTTTCTCCGGGTGCCCTCCCCAAAATGATTTCTTCTGGATAGTTCCATCTTGAAAGCATCATAGATTTAAAGCTCGGAGGGATCTTAGGAGCCATCTAGATGTCTCAAGTTCCAGACTTTTACACTGTAATAACTCTTAAAAAGGAAAACTGTTCTAAAAGGTATTACACATTTCCTTCTCCAAACCTGTCTACTGCAAGGAGGGAAGCTGATTTAATTTTTCTTTTTTTCTTTCTTTTTTTTCCTCCTTTTTTTTTTTAAGGGAGGCTATCGGGGTTAAATGACTTGCCCAGGGTTACACTGCTAGTAAGTGTCAAGTGTCTGAGGCCCATTTTGAACTCGGCTCCTCCTGACTCCATGGCCAGAGCTCTATCCACTGTGCCACCTAGCTGCCGCCTGATTTCAGTTTTCTGTCTCACTTGCTCTGTTTGTCGATGGACAGTAAAAGAGGAATGTCCCTCATCATGACAAGAATCTGTGCTGTCTGGGGTAGAACTAACTGAAAAACCCACAACTTCACTGTTAAAAGGGAACACTTGCTGATATAACATTAATACAGGATTTCCCCTAAGTCGTCCGTAGTGATTTACTTTGAACATTGGCATTCCAGGCCCAGCAACACTAAAACTTATACCTTTAATATCATAATAAGATTGAAAATCCTATACAGGGCCTGCATCAATTTTCTCATGAATTTCTTCTGTAAAAATATTTCATGTTTTGAGTAACACCCTGGTAACACTGGGAAGGAAGAGGGCAAAAAATATTCCCAAATACAAATGCTACTTCTTTGAGGTAGACACTCCAGCTACCTTACAATCTGTTGTCCTCAGGTAAACCCCAGGCACAAACAAAGACAGAAAAACTTTCTTTATTCATCTACTCCTTTTCTGAATCATCATTCCCATCATCCAACCAAAACCCTTCCATCTGTCTTCTGAGAATTTGATGTGAATGCTTTTTTTTTAAGGCCTTATCTAAGTCACTGATGAAAAAAAATCAATAGGACAGGGCTGATGAGAGTTCTGTGGCATACTACTCAAGACTTCCCTCCAAGCCAACAAGGATTCATTAATGAGGACTCTTTGTACATAGCAACTCAACTAGCTATAAGCTCATGCTACTAACTAGCCCACATTTCTCCAAAGCATCCACAGGTTTTAAGACTCTAGCAAATGCCTTGTTGAAATACAACTAAAACAAGGTTCACCTGATTAACCAATATAGTGACCTTTTTGAAAAGATGACAGGGAAGCAGTGTGACGTTGTGGATGGAGACCCAGTCTTGAAGTCAGGAAAAGCTGGGTTCATGTTCCACCTCTGACACATACTGGCTGTGTGATCCTCGGTATATGTCACTTAATCACTCTGGGCCTCAGTTTCTTCATATGTAAAATGGGGGAGTTGGCCTCAGTGGCCTCTAAGGTCCCTTCCAGCTACACATCTATGACTGCCTTAGCCTCTCAGTGCCTTGGTGACCTTCTAAGACTGTTAACTTGTAGACCCTTATCTTTCCCCTTATACCCTCTTCTCACACCTACCTAATGGTATTTTACTATTAATTTACTATTTATTAATTAATTTACTAGTATTATTACCTATTACTGTAGAAGGCACCATCATCCTCCCAGGTCTTCAGGCTTGCCACCTAGGTGTCATCCTTGACTCCTCACCGTCTCTCACACTCCATATCCAGTCTGTTGCCAACGTCTACCGATTCCACCTTTGCAACATCTCTAAAATACACCCCTTTGCTCCTCTGATATGGCCATCATTCTGGATCAGGCCCTTATCACTTACCCTGTGGACCATTGTTGATAGGTCTAATTGCCTCAAGCCTCTCCCCACACCAATCTATGCTCCAATCAGCTGCCAAAGGGATTTTCCTAAAAATCCCATGTCACTCCTCTACTTGGTCAACTCTGGGGGCTCCCTATCACCTCCAAGATCAAATACAAAATTCTGTTTGATGTTCAAAGCCCTTCATAATATACTTCCCCTCCCCCCCTTCCAGTTTCCTTATACCTTTGTTCACTTCCATCCAGTGACACTGGCTTCCTTGCTGCTCCGTGAATGAGATGTTCCAGCTCCTGGTTCTCTGGCTGTCCCCATGCATGTAATGCTCTCCCCTCCTCGTCTCCACCTACTGACTTCCCTAACTTCCTTTAATTCCAAACCAAAGTCCCATCTTCTTACAGGAAGCCTTCTCCAACCCCTCAACTCCAGCGCCTTTCCTTTTAAAATGATCTCCTTTTTATCCTGTGTATATCTTGTTTGCATGTATTTGTTTGCTTGTTGCCCACATTGTGAGCTACTTGTGGGCAGGGTTTGTCTTCTGCCTCTTTGTGTATCCTTAGAGTTTAGCACAGTATCTGGCACATAGTAGGTGTTTAATTAACAAATGTTTAATGAATTTTTGACTAACTGTAGAACAGGGGCTGCCTCACATTGGTTGTGGGGGTTTCCTTATCAGAAATTCCTTATACTAATAAAATTATACCTCCAGTCCCTGTCCACCCCCCCCCCCAAAAGAACAGATTATTTCTTTTTTCTTTTGGTGAGGCAACTGGGGTTAAGTGACTTGCCCAGGGTCACACAGTTAGTAACTGTCAAGTGTCTGAGGTCACATTTGAACTCAGGTCTTTCTGACTCCAAGGCTGGAGCCGTATCCACTGTGACACCTAGCTGCCCCAGATTATTTCTTTCTATGAAGAATGAGCACATATATGTGTGTGCTCAGTTGCTTCGGTCAGTTTAAGCCAATAAAACCAACATTATACACTTAATAGATGAAACAGTTATTGTCTTTAGAATTTTAAATATCTAAAAATCTCAGGGAATCTTCTTAGAGTTAGGGTCCAGCAATTATCCTAAATCAAGAAGTATTGCTCCTAGATTTTGTTTTATTACAAACACAACAAGCCAAGAAATCTTGGCTTTCAGAAGTGATGAGCTACTTTATAACATTCTCCAAACAGAAAAATAAAATATTTTTATGTTATTATTATTATTTAATATATGACAACATATCATATGATATACCCCTATTTCTGAGCAACTACAGTACTTTTCGTTTTGTGCATCAAGAAACCGTCCCTGTAATCACTGTAAACTTAAATATTTTAAATGACCACACTTCACCTATGAGCAAATAATAGATTCAATAGAACTTTCATTCAAAGCACCAATAAAGGGAATTCTAATTCGGTTTGTGGAAATTACTCCTCGTGTTAAAACACAGCACTGTGTAGTAGATAGAGGGCCAACCTAAGAGCCAGGAAGCCTGGGATTCAAGTCCTGATTCTGACATATAATAGCTGGGTAAGCCATAGACAACTTGCTTAACCCTTCGGTGCCCCAATCAGACTCTCAAAGACTTCAAGTCAATCACAATCTCAATCAATGGAGGTAGTTTCCATATGGGGGTGGGGGACGGAAAGAGGTCCTCCCCCCCCACAATGACGATGGAAATGAAATTACAGATCTGGACAAAAAATAGTAAAAACGACAAGAAAGAACTCTCCACATCAATGATGAAATATGTCATAAGAAAAGTATTGAATCATGGAATATGAAGGAAAACCTGACTAGCTGTTGGTCGCTTTTTGGGATCCCATTGCAACAAGTCTCTCATGAGCTGAATTGCCTCACTGCTGGCATTTGGAATCAGGGTCTTCAAATTGTTAGGGATGCACTGAGGCCATCGGAAGTTCATGGAAGTAGAAAGTTGGTATCCTTCAGGCCAGTCATTCTGAAAGGAAAAAGAAAACCTTACTTAGCTGATGACCAAAAGAGAGCAAGAGCGAGAGCAAAAGGGCAAGAGAGAGAGAGAGACAGAGACAGAGACAGAGACAGACAGACAAAGAGAGAGATTAAATATCAATATGAAATAAAATACCAGTTATCGCAAAGCAATGTCCTGAAGATTCATACATTCTACATACCCAGAATTTTAGATAGAAGTTCCTACCTAGCTTTGATAGGTAACAAGACAAGTACCCGTGGGTGACAAGATGACAAAGGACATTAACTTTTTATTTCTTTCTCATGGAAAAAAGCTCCTGAAAATTAATAGTAGCCAGCATTTAAATAGCACTTTGAGGTTTGTTAAGTGCTTAACATATATGATCTCATTTGATACTGGAAGCAGGGAGTGTAGTAGAAAGAACACTGACTCTGGAATTGTAGGGCCCAGGTTCAAGTCTCACTTCTGACATCTGCTCTCTATGCAACTTTGGGAAAGTCACTTCGTTTTCCCCAGTCTCAGTTTCCTCATCTGTAAAATGAAGGGGTTGGATTAGGTAGTCTCTAAAGTGCCATCTGGGTCTAGATCCATGATCATTTCTCCAATTAGTTTTGTTTTAACATAACAGTTGTATGGTAGAAACCCTTCAAGATGCCCCTTTAGAGAGCATGGGCAGCTAGGTGGGGCAGTAGATAGAGAGCTGGGCCTGGTGTCAAGAAGACTCCTCTTCATGAGTTTAAATCTGTCCTAAGACACTTACTAGCTGTGTGACCCTGGGCAAGTTACTTAACCCTGTTTTCCTCAGTTTCTTCACTGGAGAAGGAAATGGCAAACCACTGCAGTATCTTTCAAGAAAAAAACCCAAAATGGGGTCACAGAGAATCAGACACAGCTAGAAAGAATGTAAACTTCCTAAGAGCAGGTACTGTTTCTGTCTACAAAAACCCCATCAACTAGCAGGGTGCCCTGGCTCATAATAAGTGCTTAATAAATGACTGTCCAGTGATTGTTACCAACAGAACAGGACAAGCACAGATTTTAAAGCCTACTCAGGCTCTAGCAATATGATTCAATTAAATTTAAATGCAGATTCGATTAAATTCAATATGCATTTATTAAGTGCCTAATAGGTACAAGGCATTGTGTTAGGAATTTGGTAATCCAGAAAACAATCTCTGTTCACATTTTATAGTGAGAGAATATAACATTTCTATAGATCTTTGGTTCAGGGATGTCTAGCTGTCTGGGCCCCTGAGGGCCATCTGGTCTAAATCCCCTCCTTTTCTAAAGGATGACTCTAATTGCTGGAGAAGTTAAGTGATTTGCCCAAAGGCACAAAAGTAGTAAAGGTTTACGTAAAGCCTAGCTCTGAACCTGGGTCCTTTGATTGCAATCCCAGTCCCACACAAACACAAGGTTAACTGGAGAGCAGTTCTTTATTGTGTGTAGCTATCATGTGTTACGCCTTGCAACATGACCAAAACCATTTAGAGGATTACGGTTCTGCAGTATTATTCCTTATAAACAATGAGTAAATGTTTCTATGGGCACTGGAGAAGGAGGACCAGAATGAGAAATAAGCAGGTGACAAAGCCATTCTACTGTCCTCCATAGCTCTCTAGTCTAGAACTGCTTGTCCTAATTCCAATTCTTCTGTATTTTCTGACAGCTCCTGCTTTATATCTATTGACAGCTACTGATAGCTCACTACTATCTCAGCTAGCTGGAAATAGACCAGTCATTTTTCTTTTTGTTTTTTTAAGTTGGTTCAGTAATGGAAGTATGAATGCTGGACGCTCTGCAGGATGCCCAGAATTCACTATAACTTTGATGACCTCTATCACCAATCCTGAAGTCTAAATGTCAGCCTATATTTATGGACTGAGGCCTCCTCTCCTTCTTCCCAAGTTTGGTTAACCCACCAGGGAGCAGAGGAAGGAAGAAGGGGAGTAGCATGGAATAAATAGAACACCTCCAGAACGATTTGGAAACACGGGAACCATTTTATGTGATTGAGTATAGCTTCTGTCCAGAAAGCTTCTGAAGCAGGTAAAAGTTTCCTGAGTTCCAAACTCAACACAAACTTCCCGGGGCAGCCACAGGTTTCAAAGGTTTTCTGAACTTTTTAGATTATTGGTAGATTACTACTTGGCAATGTCAGGTATAGGCAACAATAAGAAAATCACAGCACAGAGCTGGGAACATCTAGTAATTGTTCATTTGCTCTCATTCATTTATTTAGCAAATACTAACTAAGCATCCACTTAGGGCAAAGTGCTGAACTAGGTACTCCTGGAAGGGGGTGATACCAAGAAGAAAAATACAGAATCTCATAGTTAATGATCTTATAATCTAATGGGGAGATGAAGTACACACACACACACACACACACACACACACACACACAGAAAATAACAAGACAAAAATTAAACATCAGTATGAAACAAAAATATTTGCATTATCACAGAGCAATGTCTACTTTTGCAGAAAATAAAGACTGTGAGAGTTAGGAAGAAACAGAATTCAAAATGAACCAGGTTATTGAGGGAAGCCTTCATGAAGAGTTGTAGACTTGAAATGGATCTTAAAAGATGCATAGGGTTCAAGTAGATAGAAAAGAGGTAGGAAGGCATTCTGGAAGTGTGCAGGATGGACTGGAGGGAAGAGAGATTAAAGGGAGAAGGTAAGAGAACAAGCATTATTAAGCACCTACTATGTGTCAGGCACTGTGCTCAACGCTTTACTGTTATCTTATTTGAGTCTCATAACAACCCTAGGAGGTAAGTGTTATTATTATCCACATTTTACAGTTGAGGAAACTGAAGCTGACAGAAGTTATAAGTGATTTGCCCAGGTTCACATAGCTAGGAAGTGTCTAAGGCCAGATTTGAACTTAAGTCTTCCTGCTTCCAGGTCTGGTACTCTAAGCACTGTGACACCTGGCTGCCTAAAGTCAGAAAGATAAATTAGGAGATTATTGCAGTAATTATGGCAGAATGATGAAACCTGGGATGAACTAGGATGGAAACGGTTATAGAAAAGACATGATGCTTTCAGGAGACATTATGAAGGAAGGACTCATAAGACCTGGTGACTTATTAGATATGGAAGTTAAACAAAAGGGAGGGGTAATGTTTGACTGCTAGATTTTATTTAAGCCTAAATAAAAAGAAGAACAATGGTATAGTTACTCTGCTAGATGAAGAGAAATCAGAGAGAGGACCTGGTTTGGCTATAAAGACGAAGTTTAGTCTAAATTCCCTGAGTTGGAAGTGATGGCAGGATGTGGAAATGTGCAAATGGTGCTGTAGAAGAGAAACAAGTCAGAGATAGACATAGGAGTCACCTGGAGAATGGGAAGAGTTGAAACCACAGCTCTAAAGGGATAAGTTATTTGATGGCTGAGGACTCAGGCTTGGGGAATACCTATAAGTCAGGGGAAGAAGAGGAAGACAAGTAAAAGAGCCAGGAAAATGGTCAGAGAAATGGAAGGAGGACCAGATTAGAGCTACAGAAGTAAAGGGAAGAGGAAAACTTAAGAAGGATGGGATGAACATCATTTTTAATGATGCAGAAAGTTAAGGAAATGAGGCCCAAGGACGTCATGGCTTTTGATCTATGGACCTAGATCCCACTTTATTACCTTTTTTGGTGTTCCCAGCACTTGGCAAATTTTGAATATTGTATCAATTTCACTGGCGCCTGGGAAGAGTGGCCGCAGTGTGTAAACTTCTGCCATGATGCATCCCACTGCCCAGACGTCAATAGGAGAACTGTAGTTGGTAGACCTCAGGAGAACTTCTGGAGCCCGATACCTGGGGTAACAAAAATGGATCGCTATCTATTACTTTGCTTAATTGAAATTAAAATTAAATAACATGATTAATGCCAATGAAAGAATTTATAATTTAATTTTTTAATCTAGCTAAGTGTTAAATATAGACCTGTCACAGTTTACCACAAGAGATGTATTAATGAAAAAGAACAAGGCCCTAATGAAGGACAAGACCCAAGACAAATTTATTGCATCATGTGAGATATGGCTCAGGCTGTGTTAAGCATCAGCACATTAGTACCAACACTAAGGAAAGCGATTTTTCTTATGAGGTTTTGTATAAAACATAGAATGATACTATGAGTCTTTGGGGAGCTGTGTAGGAGCCCGTGGGAGAGTGGGACTCACTAGAATGTCAAAGAGTTGCTTCCACAGAAATTTCATGGCCAGTGTTCTTCCAGGGTAGCTTATGGGCAACTTCGGTGCTGTACATGTCTCTGTATCTGTTTATGACATCATGTAAGCCCTTCACATCTTTTGAATTTTCCATGGTATAAAAAAGGCAGTCCCATACCCTACATGTATTTGCTATGCTGAATGCTTGTATGGGTTATGAGTAATTCCAAGTGAGTATAATAAGCCAAAAACAGAAGCTTAAATGTGAGCCCAGAGTCTTGGGCAAGTCCTAGGCTACAGGTTATACTGATACCTTGAGCTGTGGGTGATCCCTCAAAATTTCTTTGTATTTATTTCAGACATGTCTGCAAAGCAAATGACTGGAATCATAACCACTCTAGACAAATATCTCTGCAGCTGAAGTGCCTTCAGGCAAAAATGCTTTATCTAAAAAATATTCTTTCTTTTTTTCAGGGGTAATTGGGGTTAAGTGACTTGCCCAGGGTCACACACAGCTAGTAAGTGTCAAGTGTTTCGTCTGAGGCTGGATTTGAACTCAGGTCCTCCTGAGGGGCCGGTGCTGTATTCACTGCGCCACCTAGCTACCTCTAAAAATATTATTTATACATATAGATAAACCAAGAAAAAAATGCCCTTCACAGAAAATGTACATGAACTATGTATTCTGTATGAGGTAATGTCTATTCAAAGTATACAAAATGTTCATGTGACTATAGCATGACAACTTTAATGTTATCCTTACATTGATGGTTCTTCATTTAAAGAAAAATAATTTTATGTATTTGAGAGACAACAAACAGTATTCACCATCTTGTAGACACGTAGTCCGTATAAGGAGGTCTTGACCGGATTTCTCTGGCTAATCCAAAGTCAGCTATTTTCACAAGGTCTGGTCCCATGCAAAGGAGGTTTTCAGGTTTTAAGTCTCTATGGAAGAAACCTACAGGAAGAATAAAACATAATCCACATGCAATTTATGTTAGGATTTCATATCTGTGTAACTTCTGCATTATGTGTACATGTATATTCATGTGTGCTGTACACATGTGAACCTATACATACACATGCACACACACATGTACACATGTATAATGCACACATGCATGGATATCAATGAACACATATATCACACACACAGACATGCATTTGTGTGCCAAAAGTCTTACTGCAGCTTCAAGAATAAGTTTAACAGTAATCATAAGCTTCATTATATACTGTATCTATAAATCTAGGATGTCATCAAACACTATATGCATTACCCCATTGACAGTGGGGTATTCTTTGGAATTCTGCAAGAAGACACTTTATTCATTTGCCCTTAATGAATTCAAAAACTGAAATCATTCAAGTCTCATCCTCATCTTTTGTTTACAAGGCAGAAAAACACCTGTTTTATATATCTACATGCAGCCTCAGGCTGAAGGAATAGATTGTGCCCATCCTCCCCAAGCCAAATCAGGCAGGAATTTGAGATTTAAAATGTCTCATGAAAAAGCCATCTGTCTACAGGAAACTGATAGGTCACTCCCTAACAGACAGACCAGCACAGAATATGGCATACCTATTCTGCTCTTCTGGCTATAGCTAAGCCAGTCCTTAAAGAAAGGACAGGATTTAAGGACATACCCTATTCTATAATGCTTTTGGTACATTCTGGCATATACTTCTATAAGTTATATAACATTTCACATTTTTAATTTGTTTTGATTGAAGTGGTAAAGTAACCACTGAGGTAAATAAAAAAGAATCCCATCTCTGCCTGGGTGGTCTGAGGCAGGACCTTTCTGGGACTCAGTTTCCTCACTTGTAATAATAGCTCAAATCTGCATGGTGCTCTCAGGTTTGCAAAGCACTTTATGCATGTTACCCCCTATGTTCCTCACAACAATCTTGTAAGGAAGCAGTGCTATCACTACTCCCATCTCACAGATGTGGAAACTGAGGCAAACAGAGGTTAAGTGACTTGCCCAGGATCACACAGCTAGTAAGTGTCTGAAGTAGAATTCAAAGTGAGGTTCTCCAGATTCCAAGTCTAGAGTTCTGTCCATTTCTCCAAGCTGTATTTCAGTAGGAGTCTTATACTTTGTGGCTGCTCTAACAGTCTCTAATAGAGGCAGCTAGGTGGCATAGAGTATTGAGCTTAGAATCAGGAAGACCTGAATTAAATTTGGCCTGAGACACTTACTAGCTGTACGACTCTGGGCAAGTCACTTAACCTCTCTGACTCAGTTTCCCCATCTGTAAAATGGAGATACTAATAGCACCTACCTCTCAGGGTGGTTAGGGCGTAGCACATAAAAATAATATTTGTAAAGTGCTTAGCACAGTGCCTGGCACATAGCAGGTGTTTGATAAATGCTTATTCCTATTTCTTGCCTTCTAGTGAGCCACCTATACTTACCATCTGTACTTCCTTACCAGCCAGTCACTCCTCTACCCCCTTCAATCTGTTATCCTCTCCTTTGGTGGTGTTGTTATTCAGTTGTCTTTCAGACATGTCCAACTCTTCATGACCCCATTTGGGATTTTCTTGGCAAAGATACTGAAGTAGTTTGCCATTTCCTTGTCCAGCTCATTTTACAAATGGGGAAGCTGAAGCAAACAGGGTTAAGTGACTTGCTTAGGGTCATACAGCTAGCAAGTGTCTGAGGCCGGATTTGAATTCAGGAAGATGAGTCTTCCTGACGCCAGGCCCAGCACTCTATCCACTGTGCCATGGAGCGACCTGCTATCTGCTCCTACATTCTACTGAAGCTGTTTTCTCACAAGTCACCAATCAGGTTGAGGTGTCAAACCCGTCTTTTTTTTTTTAAATATATAAATTAATTTATTTTTAGTTTTCAACATTTACTTCCACAAGATTTTGAGTTCCAAATTTTCACCCCATCTCACCCCCCCCAAGATGGCATGCATTCTGAATACGCCTTCCCCTAGTCTGCCCTCTCTTCTATCTCTCCCCCCACTTCTCTTATCCCCTTCCCCCTTCTATTTTCCTGTAGGGCAGGATAGACTTCTGTATCCCATTTCCTGTATTTCTTATTTCCCAGTTGCATGTGAAAACATTTTTTTTAAACATGTGTTTTTAAAACTTTGGTAAACCCAAGTCTTTTATCAGTCCTCATCCTCCTTGCCTTTTCTAGAAAACTTAGACAGGAATGACCATTCCTTCTCAATAGCCTTTCTTTTGTCCTCCATGACACCATGCTACCGTGGCCACTTCAACTCTCTGCACATTCTTTCTTTGTCTCTTCATAATTAGACCTCTTCCTTCTCTCATTCTTGAAATGTAAGCATTCCCTGGGGTTCTGTTCTTGCCTCCTTCTCTTGGTGATTTCATTTACTGACACTCAGAAGTGGCAGGCCTTTGCCTACTACACTGACCAAATTCAGACAGTAATAGTTTGGGTAATATTTATGAAGGGCCTCTTATACATTGCCAAGAAAAAGAACTCTGATACGGATGAGATGGTTTCAGTAAGAAAATGTGGCTGCTGCATTACTAACATAACTAAACGAAGGTTATCAACGCCTACCAGAGATATGAGAGACATATGTTCTAACAATGAGTATAATTGTCCCTATACTCTTTGTCCTTCAGAATAACCCTGTTTCATGTGATATCCTTGAAGGCCTGATTGTCCACTCCTCTCTTGGAATTAGCTAAAGAATGTGTAAAATTATGAGGAGTTAAAGAACAATTCCTGATTGTTTATACTTCTGAGGGGACTCTCATAGGCCTTCACTCATATTGAAATGCAAGATGGACCAGTGGAGTGATTGCTGGACTACGCATCAGGAAAATCTGAGTTTACAACTACAACTCGGGGACTTATTAGCTGTGTAACCCAGGGTAAGCTGTCAATTTCAGTTTCCTCATCTGTAAAATGGGAAGAATAATAACAGTATCTATTTCAAAGGATTGTCGTAAGGGTCAAATGACATGACATGTAAAGTACTCTGCAAACCTTTAAAGTCCTATATAAATGTGAACTATTACTATTATTACTATTATGGTGACACAATTTCTAACTCTTTTTAGACAACTATTCAATCAACAATCATTTATTAAGCACCTACTGTGTGCCAGGCACTGTTTACAAAGACAAAGCAAAACAGTTCCTATCCAGCTTACATCCTAACGGGGGAGACAACATGCATACATACATATATATAGTGATATACAAAGCACTAACAAAACATACATAAGGTAATCTTGGAGAGGAGGCTTAGGAATTCAAAGATGTTTTCTTGATGAGCCTTTAAACACCATTGTGTTTTAGCATATTGCCTGGTACACAGCAGGAATTTAATAAATGTTTATTGACTGATACTATGAAAAGGAAATGATAGATATCCTTATTGAACAGGTAAAGCAACATACTGGAAAATGCACTGAACTTAGATTCAAAAGTTCTAGACTTGGCTGCTAGATCTAGGTGGGCTCTAAACCAAGCCTGCCACTTACCAGCTGTCTAACCTCAGTCAAATCACTCAACCTCTGTGCTAAACTATATCACAGGGCTGGTTTTTATTTGCAGGGAAGGAGGTGGGGAATGATTAAATGAGATAACATATGTAAAAACACACTGTAAACCATAAGGGAGGTAAGCAAATTAGGGTATGATTATTTAATAACAAAGACAAACACATTAAATGAATTAAGAAGACACAGAATATTGAGTCATATGGATAATATCATTAAATGCACACATTTTTACCTTTTAATTCCCTCAGCTAAATTGTGGGCTGAGGCTCTGATTATTGCTATCTTCTTCCTCTCTGGTTAGGTCAAGATTATCATGCCATTTTTCTTGCCTTCAGCCTTCTACTGACTCCTTGTAGTACCTCACATCTAAATTATCCCCCTCACTATCGATGCCAATCTAGGCCCAGCTAGGTAACCTACATCAAAGTAACCAGCACTCTTGCCATAGAACCTCATTATAGACCACCATCCAGGACTATTAGATACTACCCCCTTCCCTTTTGCCAAGACCTCTTCTCTGCTTCATTCAAGACCATCCTCAATCCTACTCCAAAATGGGATTTGTTGTTGGCTAGAATGAGGACTCTAGGTTCTCACAAATTCCTGTGTAAACAGGATTAGAATTCACTTCAGGTCAGGTATAAACAGGATTAGAATTTACTTCAGGTCAATCACATATTAGGGTGGAAAAAAAAGCAAAAATTAAAGAACATCATAAAAGAGACTGTATAGTAGACTAATGGGCTGAAATAGATATATGTCGGCTATATATTTGGTCTCAATGTTACACAAATTCCTAAAGGCCAGTAGTTAATAATACTGATGATAACGAGTCATTGTGGTAAAATGGATAAAAATCCAGCTTTGGCATCAGGTTCAAGTCAAGCCTCTGATACAGCTGCATGACCCTGGACAAGAAATTTAATCTCTCTGTGGCCCAGGTACCTAACTCTTTAAGAGTGTAAGTTGTAAAGGAGAGCTGATCTCACTAGGAATTCCCTGTACAGTTATCCCTCCCACATCGCAACTTTCCCCACTGAGATTTCAGTATATCACAGGTTGGCATAAAAAATTAAATGGGAATTTTGGAGGACTTTTGCAGAAGTTGCAGATGACATGCGAAGGCCAGCAGACAACAAAGAGCCTATGACCAAATACTTAACCCAAATTTTACAATAAGGTACACCCCATAAAAGAAAAAGAAAAAATTCCGACTTCTCTGGTACTAAAGGAGGGCCAAAAAATTTTACACGGATTTTTCAGATTTCAGGGGTGCCATGCCCCTAACACCTCCAATGTAGAAGGGGTAACTACTAATGAAATGCACAAGGATGCTTTAATAAAAATAATTATGATAACGATAGTAATGATAATCCTAGGAAGACATTATCATGTACAGGCAAAGGGCAATGTATGAGATTCAGGAGCCCTGGATTCTAATCTTTGCTTTGTCA